AGGACTGCTCCCAAGTAACTGGTACAGGCAGGGTGGCCCGCTTGAGCTCCCACCAGCGTACCGCTTCCCCTACCAGCATGTAGGAGGCAATGGCAGCCCTCTGCTTAGGAATTACTCCCAAGGTCTCAAAGACTCTCTCAGTCTCTGCCAGCCAGTATTGGGCCTCTTCGAAAGAGAATCCCCCTGAAAAAGTAGAAGGGTTCAGTCTCCTGTACCTCTCTATGAAGCCGGGGTCGATCAAGGAGGGAGCGGGGTCCCGAGGTAGAGGGACTGGGACCGGCTGAGGGTGAACTGGGGGACCCTGTGGTGGCGCCTGCTGATGGGGTGGGGGCACTGGAATGTGCGGTGGCGGCACCTGTTGGTACTGTGGCTGTGGTACCGGGTCGTACCGCGGCTGTGGTGCCGGGTGGTACTGTGGAGGAACAGGCTCCTGCCGGGGTGGCTCGGGATCAGCCTGCTGTAGCGGCGGCTCAACCTGCGCTAGCGGAGGAGGTCCGGGTAACTCCCTTCTCTCCTCTTGCCTTCGCTGGGCAGCTACGAGAGCTTCCACCATCTCATATAATCTGTCCAAATCCTCCCGAAGCGAATTATCTTGGGCCGCTCGGTTTAGTGGGGGCCTTTCTCTCCTCATTCCCGTGTACCTGTTTTCGCAAGGAATGATTGAGTAACGATATATCGGTGAGTATTTATCTAAGGCACTATTGTGTAAGGGATGCGTCCGAGGAAACGCTGCTCTGATACCAACTAAAACGGCCCCGGAAATATTAAAATGAAATGAGTATTTAAATATATCAAATGCGGAAGCGAGATCAAAATTTCAGTTAACATCCCTTACACGAAAAACCAAAAACGTACTTAAAATATAAAAGATTAAACTAACTAAGAGGGAAACTCGAAAATAAAACTATGAGTATGACTACAGAGTCTCTAGGCATCCCCTTCGTCGTCCTCCTGCGGAACGGGCTCGGGAACCATGTCTTCCTGATCTGAAATGGTTAAATAAGGAGTGAGCTACACTAGCCCAGTAAGAACATCACGATATCTCACCGTCACGGAGGTAAAGGTGGGTAGAAAAACACAAAAAGACCAATGGAGCATAATTTACAACAAACTCGTTTATTAACATGAAAACCTTTACCATCCACTTACCTCGGTGGAATTTATGAAAACAATATAAGAAAAACAATAACATTATTATAATCATTGAATAATATAAGCTGTAAAACATAACACTTATCACGCCTCTTGTAATTCAATCATTGTACAACATATCTTTTTCTCATTTACCAGCCTACTAGTATCCGTGGGGATCCATAGGGGTTCCGCTACCCGTTAACCTTTAACATTCATAATCAG